TTGTTTCTGTTTTTGGTGAATCTTTTTTTTCTTGTTGTTTTTCCTCGTCTGATTATTGCTATTATATTATAAATTCTTTTTTTTTCTCTCTATTCCGCTTTTCTTCCTTCTTCCAAGTAAAAGTATTTAAACAAAATTACCTCTTGTTATGATGTTGTTGTTTCGTGTGTTGTGTTTTCTGACGTTGCTGCTTAGTGTTGCCAGTGTATGTTCCTCAGCGGACACGATATCCTCTACTACAGAAGACCGTGCTTCTTGTACTGAAGTTTCTGACGGTGCTGATGGTAAATGTAATAAACCCACTTCTGTTGATTCTGTCTCTGATGACGACCCTTGCAAAACAGTTTCCGATGGTCTTGCTGAAGGTTCCTGTCCTACTACGCCGACAACTGCTGGAACTCATGGAGTTGCTGGTAGTGGTACCGTGAACACTTCTCAAGTGTCTGACCCTGGTGATGGTGCTGGTCTTGCGGGGAGAGGAGAACAGCAGCATTTGGAACGTCAGGAAAGGCAACTAGGTGATGCTGTTTCAGAATCCCCTGGTACTTTAACTGGTGTAAGCCAAGTGGGGAGTCAACCCGTTCTGTCAGTGCCAGAAAATAAAGATGGAAGGCATGACAATGGGCAGATTGGCGATCCGGGGATGAGTGCTGAAGGATCACCAACAGGTCAAGTGATCAGTGGAGAGACTGATCACACTAACGGAACTCAACAGCCCGGAGGAAATGGTTCACAGTCCTCAGAATCTTCAGGTGCAGCTAATACAGATACAAGAGATTCTCCGAGCAACCAAACCGATACAACGGAACAACCTCAATCTTCTGACAACAACCAAACTTCTCAAGAGCAGAATGGTGAAGCTGACAATGCCAATGGTGCCGCGAACCCTGCAGAGGATGAGTCAACGAAGGACACTGACAATACAACCAATAATGAAGAATCAACCACCACCACAACAACAACAACACTTCCTCCTGAACTCACAAACAACAAGAAGGGTGATGCAGACAGCAGCAACAGCAGTATCAGCAGTTCTGTGTGGGTGCGTGTACCACTACTGATT